ACCTACCTCTCCTACAAACTCCTTGTGCAGCCACTTTAGTCTCTTGCCATTCTTATGCTTTCATTGTATTGGAACAGTTTCTTGTTGGATTTCCAATACTGTGCCATTTAGAAGCTTCCAGCCATCCCAGGCCTCTTTTTCCTTCAGTCTATCTTTCCATGGCACCATGCCTACTATCTCTTTCAGTCACGTGAAATCAGCCGTTTTGAAACCCAGTGTCTTAATTCTTCTACCCTCATAGTTTCCACATCTCAGAATTGTGAATTTGATCATACTATGGTCATTTCCTCAAGTTTACCATCACCTTTATATCCTTCCTCAGTTCTTCCCAGTTGGTCATGACAATATCTAAGACAGCTAATCTCCTGATCATATCCTCAAATTTCTGGAATAGAAACTTATCCTCCACACAAGTTAGGAACTTGTTTGGCATTTTGCTTGACAGTTGCATCTTTGGGTAAGAGCAGTACCATTAGTTCTATTTCCTGCTAATTGTTATAGCAAAAACTGCCTTTAAATGATTAGAAATTAAACATATTCACAGAATTCACATGCAAGTTCCATACTGCTTTCAGGTCACTTAGTGTAAGAATTAAAAACACATACTACAGGTTTATGAGTATAGTCTGACTTTCACCCAGTGTAAGCAAAGAGCAGACATGCAATATACAGCCTAAGTTCAGTGTAAGTCACCTTGCTTACTCCAGGGTTAATTACCATTTGGAAAGTCAGAAGCAACTGTATTGCATATCTGCATATGAGACATTTGTCTGCAGCTCTGCCTTTTTCAGCTGGTGAGTTTATAACAGAAATTTGTGTTAGTTCTTGATTTTGCACTTCCTATTATTATATTTCATTCTATTTCCAGTCCCCAAAGTCATCCTGTTCTTCCTATAAGACATTTTTGAGCCTCCTGTGCTTTGATGATACCTGCAACTGGTATTAAACGAGATCTGTCCCAAGATCATTGCGGAACTCCACTGGTAAACTCCCTTCAGCCTCAACATTACTGTTTTAGCAAAATCTGTCATTTCCCCCTTAACTGGTTCCTGAAGTACTTCTATTAGCCCCTATCTTCTCCAGTTCAATTATTTCCCATGTAAAACCATATCAAGTAGTTTTCTGGCATTTAGGTTGATGAGATCTACCACTCCTTTCTCAAAGATGGATGTCAGTCAAATAAATGACTTTTGGTAAGGCCATGTTGCTTTTTAGCCCATTTTTCATTTGCCCCAAGGCGTTCTATTATTATTTTAACACTGTTCCAATGTCCTCTGTATGAGCAAAGGCTTGTAACAGGCCTGTAGTTTGGATCACACTTCCCTCCCTTTAATTATATATAGAGGCATTTGTTATTCTATCATTCCCAAACTGAAAGATTTACTAAGTTTTCTTACCAGTGAATATGTGATTTCAAATACCAGGCTTTCTAGTTTTATCTAATTCCCCAAATTCAAGGATATTAAGTACCTTGAGTTTTGTTTGGGAAATTTCTACTTCTGCATATTTGCTCCTATTAGCAACACTGGCTGTGTCCTCATGTCCTACATCTTCCTACTTATTGAAAACTTAAGCAAATCATTGATTTAATTTTCCATCCACACATGAATTACTTGAATCTGAAAACCATCCTCAATAAAGAACAGCCCACATCCTTGCCACTGTATTTTTTGTTAACAAATGTTTCTTTAGTCACATGATTTATTTTTACATTTACTGTGCAACTCATTTTAAGTTGTGCCAGAATCATATAGCCTGGAGTTGCTATGCCACAGCATGCCATCTGGCAAATGTGTTTGACCAGTATGGAAGGCATGGTCAAGGGGGTAAGGACTTTTTATCAACAGATGGGAAATGAAGCCAGTACCACATGGCATTGCCTACAATCTATGACTGAGCACAGGAGACAATAGGAGCTCATTCCTTGCTCCTATTGGGAACACAACGCATGCGAAACTGACCAGTCCCCTTGATAGTTAAGGGACCAGTTCTAAAGTAGAAGAAAAAAAACAAGGCAGAAGCCTGGGAGTCAGGATGTCAAAAAGGCTGGTGTGCATGTGTGATCAGGCTGACTAGAATAATGAGGATGAGGGGAGGGGACAATATGCTTGAAGAGCGGGGATTAGGTCCCAACTGCAGTACAGCAAGGTGTGGAACTCATTGCCACCAGATGTTGTGAAATCTGACAGTTTAGCCAGATTCAAGAAGGGATTGGGCAAATTCTTGGAAGAAAGAGGCATCATCACCAGTTACTGGGCATGGGAGATAGGGATACAGCCTCTGTATTAGAACGTCCTAGACTTTAAATGCTGGAGGCTGCAAGAGAGAAAGGAACAGTGGAAAAAAGCCCTCATCGTACCTTGTGTCAGGCATCCAGGTTGTAGCTATGTTGGTTTAGATTGCCTTCATCATACCTTGTTCACTCTCCCTTTCAGTATTCACTCTCTGCCACTGTGTGATGCAGAATACTGGGCAAAATGGATCTATGGTCTGACACAGTAAATGCCAGTTCTTATAGCAGAGAAGGCAGGGGAGAAAGTCTGGGCATGAGGCAGAGGGGCCTAAAATCTGAAAAGCATCTATCAGGGAGAAAGAAACTGTCCAGGGCACATCAGTGGGGTAGACTTGGTTTTAATCTTGAGGAGTTGAGGCAGAGGTTAGGGTTACCAGGGCATGAGGGGAAAAAAGAGCATGGCTTGGATGCTATCTGCCTGCTAGTCGAGGGTGCCTACAAGCAAGCATGCACGTGAGAGTGAGTGAGAAAGCCTTGTTGCACACACTAACTTTGTGGTGGCCTCAATGTTCTGGCATGCCTGGAAGATCACTACACACCTGGCCTGGGAGAGATATATTTGCCCTCCTGATCAGGTCAGCCCAGCAAATCTGATGGTTCTCCATACAAGCAAGCCAGCCTCCTCAGCCACTGCTCTTCTCTCTAACGATGCAGCCAGATCTAGCAGCATCTTTTCTTCATTCCTCCTTCCTTTCCATTGCCTACTTGCTGAGCTTCAGTCTCAGGCTGTGACTTTTGGATCTCAGAAGCACAGCACCCATGACAGCAGTGGTAGTCACTGCCTTTGTTGACCCTGGGGGAGGGGCTGGGGAAGGAGGAAGGAACCTTAGTGCCAAATCACAAATGTTTAACAGGCCTCCTGATGTTGGTGACATCTTTAAAAAAAAAAAAAAAAAAAAAATCTCTTTATTTGCAACTTTCAGGTACACTCACCCTTCTTCAGGAAAATGCAAAGATTGTAAAATTTCTCTTAGGTGGAAATGAAAAGTCATATTTCACAGGCGAGCTGAAGGTGTTGTAAAATCTGGTTGGAAAAGTTCATTTTGTGCAAATTAGGCTCAGATAAAAGAGCAGTCTATTTATCTCAAAGTTGTGTGATGGCAAGCAGGATATTGAATTATGTTGCCTTCTGGTTATGTTGTTTCATATTTCGCAGGAGGATGGGTTGACAAAAGGCTCTCCTGAGCAATGAACTTTTCTAACCGAGAGATCTTACAACACCTTCAGCTCTCCTGTGACACATGAATTTTCATTTCCACTTAGGAGACATTTTACAATCTTTGCATTCGTCTGCACCTGAAGAAGGATAAATGTACCCCAAGGCTTGCAAATAAAGACATTTTATTATGAATATCTGGTTGGTCTAATAAAAGGTATCACCTCTATACAGAGTTCTGATTCCTTTTGCCTGTAGGCCAGTAAGCCTACAACCTGTATCTCTGAAACAGTTTGTTTCACTTCACTTATAATAGACACAGCTATGATGGCAGTGTCACTCCTTCCACTTGAAGAGCTATGTTCACAGATATTTGGAGCATAGAGGTGGAACATTTCCATTAAGTCCAAGTACATGCATTCATTGATAAAATGCTCAAATAAATTTGCCACATGTGCTATATAAATCTTATACTCCTAAATCTTGGTATGAGAGAATACCACGTTAAAAAATAATCCAGAGTTCTGTAGCAAACATCAATTAGAATGTACCAAAGCATCAGATGGGACCATTCTGACACAAATCCATTTCTCATAGCCATGACACAGTATCAAATGCTCAATTCCTTATCAAGCCAAAAAAACATTCTTCTAACTTGGAGCGAATCATTTATTCTGCTTTCAGAGAGGTTAAGCTCACGTTCAGTTTAATACTCTCAAAGATAAAATTCACACCTTGTTTTTAGATGCTGGATATTTTAATGCTTATCTGGTTCCTTCCCTATATATGAAATAAATTCTGCAATGACTAAAAACTAAAAGCTACAAAAAGTTAAAGCAATCCAGGTGATCCTGCACTAATCACACATACTACAAACACTCTATAAATTCTACAGATTACAGTCCAGTGTTTTATAAACTTACTATCTCCTTTGATACATTTGCAGTCCATTACTTAACTGCCACCTTCAAAGCCTAATTATATCTATATCAGGGGTCAGCAACGTTTCTGGGCAGAGAGGCAGACAGTGGGGGAGCCATGAAGGGCCCAACCCCTTCCCTGCTGCCTGCCCTGAGGCACACGTACCAAGCAAAGTGCCTTTGCATGCCGTGCTCTGGCACCCATGCTAGTGATTTCCTACCCCTGGTCTATATGATAAGTATTCTGTATTCCAAGATCCACAACACCTGTTCTGTTGAAAGCAGTTCCCTTAGAGTAGTTGGCATGTAGCAAGGACAATGCACTGGGACTAGAGCGGAAATAAAGGAACTGGACAGATCACACTTAACCAGAGAATGTGCTCTGATCAAGAGTTACTATTGAAGTGTTCCAAGAGATTTCCTTACTACTAATACTTGGAAAGATCATCAGTTCTTGATAAGTGTGTGTGTGAGGGAATCTCATTCCTCACCACTCTAAAAGTTATGTAATCAGCCAGTTTTCCAGATATGATGCTCCACTAGGATATTAGATTTAAGACACCCTAAACTGTCAGGACACTTGAAAGAGGAAAACGTTACAAGAGAATTAAGTAAATTAAATCTTACTCACATGTTTAAAGGATCCATGGGGGGCTGCAGTTGCTCCTGTTTCTTCTAGATACTCATCCCAACTGAATTCTGCTTCTTCCACAGCAGACCCAGCATCTAGAATGGGGGGAAGGCAGGGAGGAGAGGAAGAAAGAGGGTGACCTAATGTCTGATGTGGAGAAAATATGCCTTTAGTCAAGCTATATACATATTTTGGGGTTCTCTTCATCCCAGACTGTTTTGCAAATTAGCAGTTTGGGCCTTCTCCTGAGAGGAGATGCATGGATTAATGCCCATTGTGCCCCCAAGGAAGTGAAGACCTGGACCCAGACTCCACTGACCCGCCAGGGTAGAACCAAGAAGTAAGAAAATTGGGGCAAGGAGAGGGTGAACGAGGACAGGGGCGCTTAGAGGGTGCGGGTGTGTGCATGAGAACTTGTGTGTTCATGCATGCATGTGAGCGTGCAAGGGCTGCGCCAGGCAGGATGCACCGGCTGAATGGAACCTGGGAGGGGAATGCCCTTCGCCCTGGGTCTCTCCTTAGCTAAGGCCCCCAGGGAGCCCCACGAACAGAGTGTGCAAACAGGTGCGGTTTTGCGTGGGCACGGCAGTTGGTGCAGGAGTTCACATGGATAGGTGTGCAGAAGGCACCCGGAGGGCTGGGCTGAGCAAGGCACCTGAGGCCAGGAGCCTGAAGAGTAGCTGCATGGACCAGGTAGGGGCGTGGACTCACACTGAGCCATGGTGGCGATTCATTGGGTCCACAGGCTTCCCAGCACTGCTGAGATCCCCACCCAGACAGCCACTGGCCCTGGACTGTGAAGGCTGCCCAGCATGGCTGCTGGCAGCTGGGCATGGGGGCACCCCGACCTGTGGGGTGTGCTCCCTAGTGAAGTCTCTGGAGGGCCGGGTGGAGGAGCTCGAGGAGGAGGTATGACAGCTACGTACCATCAGGGCCCACGAAGACTACATCAATGGCTACTACCAGGCCCTCTCCAAAAGATGGAAGAAGATATGGAAATAGAGATGGTGGCCAACAAGAAGGCTGACCAAAAAGACCCAGCCGGAGCTACCTGGAAAATGGCCACCTCACATTCCAGGACACGCAGGGCTATGGCTGCTGCTCCCCTGGCCCTGCACAACAGGTATGCTCCCCTACCCACATGAGAAGGCCCCGATGGTGACACCGGAGGAGGAGGAAGGTAAGCAGCATGCTGCCACCCCCAAGAGAAAATGCAAGGTTGTGGTGGGGGGGGACTCCCTCCTGCGGGGTACAAAGGGACCCATCTGCCATCTGGACCCCATAGCCTGTAAGGTCTGCTGCCTCCCCAGGGCCTGCATCTGGGATGTTGTGGAGAGGATCCCTAGGCTCATCCAGCCCTCCAACTACTACCCCAGTAGCAGGGGGAGCAGGTAGTCTTTTCCTCTCTCCTCCTAGTTGCGGGTCACAGACCTAGGAGGGAAGGATGCATCGAGGAAGTGAACTGATGCCTCGGTGGACAGGGAAACACTGACTGGAACATGCCCAGGGATCGACGTACAAGAAATCTCCAAAGACAGGGACACTAGGAGAGCCAGTCTTACAGGAACTGAGGAAATAGTTCTCCTTCAGTATGACAGGAAATCTAGGGTCTCACCTGGAGGACTCAGGTACCTGTACACTAATGCCAGGAGCATGGGGAACAAGCAGGAGGAGCTAGCCCTCCTACTCTGCAGTAAGCATTATGATCTAGTAGGGATTACAGAGACCTGGTGGGACTCCTCACATGACTGGAGTGTAGCCACAGAGGGCTACACACTGCACAGAAGGGACTGAGTAGGGAAGAAAGGTGGAGGTGTAGCTCTCTATGTGAGGGAGCAGTACACCTCCTTGGAGGCTGACATCGGCTCCAAAGAAGAACAGCTTAAAACCCTCTGGGTCAAACTGCAGGGGTGGGGGAGAGACCTAACTGTAGGTGTACACTACAGACCATCAAAACAGGGAGGAGCTCAATCTCGAGTTCTCTAGAAAACTGACAGAGGCCGCATGTGCACAGGACATGGTCGTCATGGGCAACTTCAATTATCCAGGCATCTCTTACGAGGAACACTCGGCAAAGTCCGACCTGTTGTGGCGCTTCCTGACCTGCAACAAAAAGCTCTTCCTGACTCAGGAGGTGCACAGGCCAACCAGAGGTAAAGCTCTCCTAGACTTGGTCTTGGCCAAAGGATCTGGTGACCAACTTGAACATAGAGGGCAACCTGGGTGACGGCAACCATGAAACCATCACATTCATTGTCTGTTGCAAGGCAGGGAAACTAGATAGCAGGGTTGAATTTTTGGATTTCAAAAATGTCAATTTCAACAAGCTCAGGACATTAGTAGGGGAAGTGCTGCAGGACCAGGGACCGAAGGCAAAAGGCGTCTGTGAAGAGTGGTCATTCCTTAACGACATGATCTTTAAAGCACAAAAGAAGTCCATTCCCATACAGAGGAAAGGTAGCAGAACAGCTGGGAAGCCCTCCTGACTAAATAGGGAAATCATGGTCCTCTTGAAAAAGAAGAAAGACGCTTACAAACAATGGAAGTTTGGGACTGTGCCCAAGGGGGACTATACAACAATGGCTTTTTCCTGGAGGGGGGAGAATAGGGA